AGAATAAGTCCTGCTTCACGGTTTGTAGCTACTACCTGGTAAAGAACCGGACGACGACCGTGGACAGCTGGAGGAAGGATGAGAGTTGGATTTTTGCCCATGGGTGAAGGAGGGCATGTGTTTTTTCTATGGGTGTAGGATCCACTCTGGACTTCCTTTATGATCAAAAGAGCTTCCCGACGAAAGCGTATGGCGGCGTCTAGAGTCTGTAGTTCCACTACGGGGATGCGCTTTCTTTTACCATCGTCTGGCGAGTTCACGAATGGAAACAGCCATTTAGTAAACTTGTACTCAAGGTAGCCGGACGGGGTGAGGTGACGATAGTCCTCAACTGGCAATGTGTTGGTCACGTCGTTTTCCGTAAGTGATCTAAGTTGGAGTCCGCGAGGACGAACTAGATGAGCCCACGGATGAGTACTGATGAAAGGGTGAGCGAAGCCAGTTGGGGTCTTGATGGGAAGCTGAGGAAGAGAGCGAGACGTGCGGCCCGAAGTTGGGTGACACACAGGACCTTCGGAAAATGAGTCTAGACTCATTCTAGAGACATCAGAGGATCCTTGTGTGGCTCTAAAGTAAGAAAGCTATAATTATAGCACGGAAAGCACAACAAAAGCAGGGCACTCTAATAAAAGAATGGAGCGAAAGTTAAAATTAGGAACCTTGTAGATGAGGCGGATGAAGAGTGAGTATCCTGTATCGAGTCGGAGTCGATAGGTGACTGTTTGTTTGGGAAAGATGGTCCTCCTCCATCCACAGAATCAAAGTGGACTGAGGAACGACGATCCATAAGTTTATCGGAATTAGTGGCTGAAATCAACATATAAATGATAGATATAAAGATCCCTCAACTGAATGCGATAACTACGAGTTCAACATCCGATCACGTTGAGAAAAAAATCTAACCTGAGTCTACTGGATGCGGCCCAACAGGGCTCAAATGAAATGCAGAGGTCGCATTCTTGGACACTTGTATTCTTTGATAGGGGCTTTTCCCCAAGCTCATCTGTAAACATGCGCAAGGTCTTCAATACGGTATGGTAAGCAGGATTGTACAAGAACCTGGAACATAGAAGAGGAAATGTTTAGTACATATGAATGAATGAAGGCGAATTAAACAACAGTGCGAGTGCGAGGATGATCCACGTGATGATTGATGACTACACTACGGATGAAGAGAAGAATATTTTGAATGGAGGTTACTTGGGATATGAAGTGGGAATGGGAATAGTAC